CATTGAGTCATCTCTGACGCATAGTGACCTTATGTACAACAGAACGAAACACTGTCACGTCCTGTGCCAGCTTCACAATCCCTCCTGAGCCCATCGCTGTATTCACTGTCAAACCATCTTGTTAAGGGCCTTCCCCTTTTTCGTTGACCCTCCACTTTACCAAGCATGACATCCTTCTCCAGAGAATGATCCCTTCTGACAATGTGACCAAAGTGGGTGAGACAAAGTCTGGCCTTTCTAGCTTCCAAGGAGCACTCTGGCTGCACTTCTTCCAGGACAGATTTGTTAGTTCTTTTAGCAGTCCATGATACTTTCAACATTCTTTGCCAACCCCACAACTCAAAAGTATCAACTCTTCTTCAGTCTTCCTTATTCATTGCCCAGCTCACATATATCTAAGGTGATTGAAAATAGTATGTTTTGAGTTAGAAGTATCTTAGTCTTCAAGCAGACATCTTTGCTCTTCAACATTTGAAAGGGGTCTTTTGCAACAGATTTGCCCAATGCAGTACATCTTTTGATGTCTTGACTGCTGTTTCTATTGGCATTGATTGTAGAACCAAAAATATGAAGTCTTTGACAACTTCAATCTTTTCTCCATCCACCATGAAGCTTATTGGTTTATTGGTCCAGTTATGAGGATTTTTGTTTTCTTTTTGTTGAGGTTTAAGACTGTAGTCTTTTATCTTCATCAGTAAGTGCTCCAAGTCATCCTCACTTTCAGCATGCAAAGTTGTGTCATCTGCATATCTCAGGTTATTAATGAGACTTACTCCAATACTGATGCCACGTTCTTCTTTGTATAGTCCAGCTTCTCAGATTATTTACTCAGCATACATATTGAACAAGTATGGTGAAGAGATACAACCCTGATGCACTCCCTTCCTGATTTTAAACCATGCAGTGTTCTGTGTGAACAACAGCCTCCTGGTCTATGTTCCTCATGAGTGCAATCAAGGGTTGTGGAATTCCCATTCTTCTCAATGTTATCCACAGTTTATTATGATCCACACAACTGAATGCCTTTGCATAGTCAATAAAACACAAGTAAACATCTTTCTGGTATCCGTTGCTTTGAGCCAAGATCCATCTGACATTGTGTTGGATTGGGTTCTCTAGAGAAACACAAAAACCAGCAAAGTGTATATATATATTTATAGAGAGAGAAAGAGAGAGAGAGAGAGAAATTTATCTTAGATAAATGGCTCACAAGCGTGTAGAAGCC